GCTGCACAGAGACCCCCAAATCCCCCCCTGGGACCCCAAATGTGCTGCACAGAGACCCCCAAATCCTCTTGTTCTGCCCCCCCCCACACCCCCAGCTCCCCAAAATCCCCTCAGAGCCCCTGCCCAGAACTGGGTTATCCCTCCCCGATTAGGACGCCCCCCAAAATTTGGGGCGCCCCCCCAGATTTTGGGGTGCCCCCAGATCCTCATATCCCCTCCTCATGCCCACCTCCCCAAAATCCCTTCAGAGCCCTCGGGGAGTTCCCTCAGAGCCCCCTCCCCAAATTGGGTTATCCCTCCTCGATTGAGATACCCCCAAAATCTGGGGTGCCCCCCGGCTGTTGGGGTTTCCCCGGCTATTGGGGATCCCCCCCGGATTTTGGGGATCCCCCCGGATGTTGGGGTGCCGCAGGTGCTGGAGGGGCTGGATTACCTGCACACCAAGTGCAAGATCATCCACACGGACATCAAGCCCGAGAACGTGCTGCTCTGCGCGCCCCAGCCCTACCTGCGGCACCTGGCGGCGCAGGCGGCGCGCTGGGCACGGGGCGGCGGCGCGCCCCGCGGGGCAGGTACCCCAATTCACACCTGGGGGGACCCCAATTCACACCTGGGGGTACCCCAAAATCACACCTGGGGGGGACCCCGAATTCACAACCGGGGGGTACCCCGAATTCACACCTGGGGGGTACCCCGAATTCATGGGGGGAGGGTACCCCGAATTCATGGGGGGAGGGTACCCCGAATTCACACCTGGGGGGTACCCCAAAATCACACCCGGGGGGTACCCCGAATTCACACCTGGGGGGACCCCGAATTCACACCCGGGGACCCCGAATTCACACCCGGGGGGGTACCCCAAATTCATGGGGGGAGGGTACCCCAAATTCACACCTGGGGGAGGGTACCCCAAATTCATGGGGGGAGGGTACCCCAAATTCATGGGGCGAGGGTACCCCAAATTCACACCTGGGGGAGGGTACCCCAAATTCATGGGGGGAGGGTACCCCAAATTCACACCTGGGGCTGGGTACCCCAAATTCATGGGGGGAGGGTACCCCAAATTCACACCTGGGGCTGGGTACCCCAAAATACATGGGGAAGGTCCCCCAAATTCACACCTGGGGGTGGAGGGTAGCCCAAAATGCACATCTGAGGGGGGCAGGATCCCTAAAATCCATCCCGGGGAGTAGGGTACCCCAAAATCCATCCCCAGGGGGTCAGGTAACCCCCAGAAATTCCTGCTGGAGCACAGGTAACCCTCAAAATCCATGCTGTGTGCGGGTACCTGTTGATCCCCCAGAAGAACAGGTGTACCCAACCCCCCACTGCTCTGGGGGTGCCCCAGGAATTTGGGGACCCTCAAATTCCCCCACACCTGGGCGGGGGGCCCCGGGCTGACCCCCCCACTCCTGTCTGTCCACAGTGAGCTCGGCACCGCAGGAGGAACCTGTGAGTGTCACTGCACACCTGTGTGTGTGTGTGTGCACACCTGTGTGTGTGATTGTACACCTGTGTGTGTGTGTCTGCACGCCTGTGTGTGTGATTGCACACCTGTGTGTGCTCACCTGTGTGTGTGTGTGCTCACCTGTGTGACTGCACACCTGTGTGTGCTCACCTGTGTACGCTCGCCTGTGTG